CGTATTGAATTTGACTATGATGATAGTGTTCACTCTCTACTTTTTGCGATTTGGGTTGCTGTTCAATGATCTCTTAGCTTTATGACCTTTTGATGGTATTTGGTCACACTGTGAGGAGAACTTTGCAATTGGTTAAGAATAAAATGGCTTACTGAACACACTGGCTTGAATTTTCTAGACGATGTATCTAGATTTAAAAAAAAATGTATACAGCTTGTCAAATTGCTCAGAAAAAAAAAAAAAAAAAAACATGTTTAGAATTAGATTAAATATGGTATTATTCGGATGCCTGGGACAGAGTTTTTGGACCTGATAATATAGTACTTGTATATTGCCAGTACCTAGAAATCCTTTCCAGACTAAATACTTTGGTCCCAATGAAATAGACAGCAAGATAAAGGATTTCAACTCTATTGTAAAAACTCCAGGAAGGCGTAAACACATCACTATGGATTCATTTATTTTCGAATGTACTAATTTTCGTGGAATGAAGAATCTTTATATTTTCGTGATATTTTATTTCGTGGTTTTGTCAAGATCTGTATACAAGCCTGTAGAAAATTTGTTTTTTATTGACCATTCAAATTCGTGGGTTACCTGTAACCACGAAATCCATGAAAAGTGGTATCCAAAGAATAATAATGAATCCACAGTAATATGCTAAAACCATATTTTGAACGTACTGATACAGATAAGAGTAAACTAGTTGCCACTTTTGCCTTTGTTAAATTGGAAAACGATCATATCAAATCAGATATAATTGAAAAAAGTAAAATCACTAAAATACCGAACGCGGAGGAAAATTCAATACGAAAAGTCCCTTATCAAATGGAAAAATCAAAAGCTCAAACACATCAAACGAATGGATAACAACTGTCATATTTCTGACTTAATCGCATCAAATTCCATTATATTGACAACAAAACAAACAGACATAATAGGCAAAGATGTCAAAAATTGGGATACAGCAGTCAGCATTGTGTTATAATGTTAATCGCTATAAAAACAAACAAATATATAACAAAGAAAAAGGCATAAGACAAAGAACATTAGTAAAAAATGAAAGACAAGAATACAAAAATTTACCATAGCACAATAACATAATCATGATATTGATGGGATGTATAAGTACAGAGCCACGTCATAAGTAACAAAGAAACACACAAAGGCATATAGACAAAGCACATTATCAAAAATGAAAAACAAAAATACAAAAATGTACCATAGCACAATAACACAATGATGGGTTGTATTGTTGATTCTAAGACTATAATGACTATGGAAAAACAGTTAGATTGTAAACTTTGTCAAATTTAGACTCAAAACTAGAACATCTGACCTTTGGTCGCAGAGCAAACATCTTCTTGTATATATTATGATGGTATGAAACTAAACCCCTTACGGTAGGAATTGTGCTTGATTTTCATATGATGAAGAATCTTTCAATCAGTTTAATTGAGGTCTGGAGCTTGTATGTCAGTAACTGCTAGTAGTCATTTGTTAATTCATGTATCATTGTCATTTTGCTAGGTTTCTTTTGTTACCTATTCAGACATCGGACTTTTTTTCAACTGAGTTTTACTGTGCATATTGATGTGTGTTTCTTTATTCGACATTGGCTAGACGTATAGGGGAGGGTTGCGATCTCACGAAACATGTTTAACCTCGCCGCATTGTTGCACCTGTCCCGAGTCAAGAGCTTCTGGTCTTTGTTAGTCTTGTATTTTTTTTTATTTTAGTTCAGTTATATGTTTTAGAGTTTAGTGTGACGTCCATTTTCACTGAACTAGTACACATTTTTATTTAGGGGCCAGCTGAGGACCACCTCCGGGTGCGGGATTTTCTTGTTGCGTTGATGACCCATTGGTGGCCTTCGGCTGTTTTCTGCTCTTTGGTCAGATTGTTTTCTCTTTGACATATTAACCATTTGCATTCTCAATATTATTGTCGAGCCTTCGACTTTTGTCGAAAAAGCGAGACATAGCGATCCTACATTCCGTCGGCGTCGTCGGCGTCGTCGTCGTCGTCGTCGTCGGCGGCATCCACAAATATTCACTCTGTGGTTAAAGTTTTTGAAATTTTAATAACTTTCTTAAACTATCCTGGATTTCTACCAAACTTGGACAGAGGGTTGTTTCTGATCATAAGATAGTACCCAGTAGTAAATTTTGTAAAAAAAAAATCCAGTTTTTCCGTATTTTACTTATAAATGGACTTAGTTTTTCTGCCAGTTAACATAACATTCACTCTGTGGTTAATGTTTTTAAAATTTTAATAACTTTCTTAAACTATCCTGGATTTGTACCAAACTTGGACAGAAGCTTGTTTATGATCATAAGATAGTATCCAGAAGTACATTTTGTAAAACAAAATCCTGTTTTTCCGTATTTTACTTATAAATGGACTTAGTTTTTCTGCCAGTTAACATAACATTCACTCTGTGGTTAATGTTTTTAAAATTTTAATAACTTTCTTAAACTATCCAGGAATTTTACCAAACTTGGATAGAAGCTTGTTTATGATCAAAAGCTAGTATCTAGAAGGAAATTTTGTAAAAATTTATTTCCTGTTTTTTCCGTATATTACTTATAAATGGACTTAGTTTTTCTTATAGTTAACATTACATACAGTCTGCAGTTAAAGTTTTTAAAACATTTATTACATTCATAAACCATCCTGGATTTTTACCAAACTTGGACAGAAGCTTCTTATAATCAAACGATAGTATCAAGAGGAAAATTTTTAATAATTTTTCCCCATTTTTGTTAACATAGCGATCCCACATTCCGTCGTAGTCTGAATTAAGGGATAAATCATCAAACAATGTAAAAATTATCTTCTTTATCATTTGTTCATTCAATAAATTTATGTTTCAACTCTTTTATAAATCTATAGATTTGATTGCATACAGTATTCATTTTTACGAACATATTTTTTTTCATACATTTCAAACGTTTTATTTCATTAACTGTAAATATATAATGTGCATTCCCCTATCACACTGAAAACATAGATAACAGCAAAAGTAGGCGAAACACTGGGTTCTGCGGAACCCTTACGAATTGTTTGGTATTTTCTTTTAAAAATCATGTTCCAGACGTGCCAAACAAAACCATTGCTGTTTGTCAAAATGTCGATGTGATGCTTCTCCAATTAAGTAACATCCTTATCGGCTCAATCCGCTTAAACTTGATTTTAAGAGACAAAAAACTACAAAAATGCTTTACAATGATATCATTAAACCGAGTAACACTGAATGGAGCTCTCCTTGTCTCCTTGTGCCAAAATCCGATAAAACTTTCCGTTTAGTAAATGATTTCAAAAAAGTTAAAAAAAAAGTTCATTCAGTTTCGAAATCCGATTTATAAAATAGAGAATGGAAATGGGGAATGTGTCAAAAAGACTACAACGCGACCAAAGAGCAGAAAACAGCCGGAGGCCACCAATGGGTCCTCAACACAGATTCTAATTCCAAGAATAGACGACTGCATTGACAGTTGGCAAGGAAAATCTGTGAGCAAATTTGATTAATCAAAAGTTTACTGGCACGCGCCCTTGACAACAAGAGATCGTGAAATATAAGCTTTTGTCAAACAAGACGGCTTATGTTTGTATCCTGTCATGACGTTTGGTTTGCAAAGTGTGCTCCAACGACATTTTAAAGAATGATCAATTATGTTATAAAAGAATTAGACTGTAGTTATTTTTATATTGATGATCTTAATGTACATGTTGAATGTAGTGATAGCTAGGGAGAGCATTTAACACATGTATAAGCTATCAGGCCACTGTAACTTATTGGGGGCATATTTTGGCCAAGGTCAAGTGAAACCTTATATATCTGAAGTGGATGCAATTACAAATAATAAACAACTTATGAGACATTTAGGCATGATTGAAATTTACAGGAAATTCTATTCAAATTTTGTAACTGTAGTTCATTCATTGACTCATCTTTTACGGAAAGATTCTTTATTCATCTGGATTGATTATTGTCAAAACGCTATTGAAAATAGCAAACCACTTTTTTCATATTTTTTCCAAGAAATCATACCGCATCTTCTTTTTTATATTAACATCAGAAAATTAAATCAACTATTGAACAAAGAAAAAGAATTTTTGACACTGTTGTCTGCGCTTCAACATTTTGATGATTATCTAAATCCTACTATGCAGCTTGTTCTTGTTTATACTGATCATAATTATATTACTTTCATACAAAAAATGAGAAATAGTCACTGAGTTTGACAAGGTGGAGTTTACTGTTACAGGAATAAAAGTTAAATTGACATTTGTATAAAATTTCTTGTTAAATTATATAATAAATCTTGTTTAATTTATTATAGATTCTTGTCTTTTGTTGGCTACAATTTGAAAGTGTTTTTGGCCGTAACAGGTTTTTCTCATTTTGAAAGACGTACGGATGCTTATGATTGCTTACATCAATTCCTTGTGAATTTTAGTGGATATTTTTATTCGAAATCATACCACATCTCTTGGCTTTTACTTTGTAATATAAATTGATATATTACATATGACTTAAACCGTTGTCAGAACCTTAGTAACCTGTTTGGCAGTAAATTTCTACAATATTTGAAAGAACAAACGTATAGCTTGACATATAATATCTTTTTATCATGACATCAAATGTCTGCTGGTTTGTATTTAGCCTATAAGAGTTTTGTAGCAACTAGTTCGGTGTTGTTTGTGATTTATTCTTTCCCTCTCTTCGTTTCATTTATTTTATTGTCCAGTAGTTGCATTACTTAAATACTCAATTTTACCTCTAAATTGACTAGATCAAATCTTGTTGTTATACTATAGAAAACTATAGTTTATGTACATGTACCTCAATATGTTTCATTTTCTAGCGCTTTTGCTGAATATCGTAACCACTTTTGGTATACTATCAATCGTTTTAAACTACCATATGTCGTTTTGATTTATTTGTCATTGAAGTGTTATTTCCAAAATTGATCTTTAAGAATTTTTCTTTGTAGATTCATCCATTCAACGCCACAAAGGGTTCAATGCAACTATTCCAGCAATTTCAGCAGGAGTACTGCTCCCAGTCGTTGTTTGTGTTGTCCTCTTCCTTTTGTATAGATCCAGACGATCACAAAATAATGGCAATCAACAATGTAGGTTTTTATTTATATTCTTATTGAACTGTTGTGTAGGAGCAGGACGATATAATCAAACCCTATCAAGAGATGCGTTATAGATCAAATCAAGAATTACATTATTTTTGTTGATAGGGATATGTTCGATAGTGTGTTTGTTGTATTCTAAAAAGTCGTTTATTGTTCGTCAAAACTTGTTCCCTAAAACAAACAGGTCTAGGTGGAAACGTTTTTGGCAATACATAATTAATATTGTAAGCAGTTGTTCTTTGTATTCCATTGTTCATCTACTTTGTACAAGGAAGAGCTCCAAATGATCTTGGTTACTTTGATCGACATAAGAGACATACACATTTTGAAATAATAATAACTTATCAATTCCAAATACAAAGCCGTGTTTCATTAAAATATCGGCGAAGAACCAATCTTTAAGATAAAAAAGACAATTTACGTAGGAAGGTCTAGATCTTATTCTGTAAGGAGAAAAATACTCTTAATCTTTAAGTCGAAAAGTCTGAAGAATTGCTCATCGATTATGATAAACTAAATGATCAAATATATGTAAATGGTACCTTATATTTATAGACATAATTGTATCAACATCGTATATCATTATATAACAGTGTCCAAGTGAATTATCAATACTAATTCATTTATTAGGCAGTTTATGTAGTGTAATTTACACATAAATACTAAGTTATTTGGCACTTTACCTGCGGGGACATATCAACATCATAAAACGTTACGCTGGTTTCCGTCCCAAAAAACTACAATGTAGACTTTAAATTGAATGTGTTGATAGTCTGTCACTATATTAGAACGATCTTTGAGCAAGGTTTCCTGTTATTATAAGCTTGTTTTATGATGAATATGCAGATCATTTCTTCAAGAAAAGTGCCGTTTATATTTGATAACCAAAGCCATACAGTTATGTACAGCCCACCAACCGATAGCTTAGCACTAATACCGTATAACCTCTTTATTCAATCGATTTTGTTTCCAATTCAATTTTTCCTAAACTTTTCACGATTTTATCTAAATGATGTCAAGAGTAATTCCAAGCACTCCTCAATACAAAGCTTGTTGCATGTATGAATATTCATTTTCTAACGTCTAAGCTTCTGATGTTTTAACTTAAAAAATGTAAGTCCTTAATGAAATGCTTAGTGTTGTTTAACCTGTCCAATTGTAGTTCACCCATGCTGGATCTATGTGATCACTCTGGTTTCGGAGTTGGTGGTAAATTCTACGTTGAAGACATGTTAGGAAAATAATTATGTGTTTCTTTGACTTGCAAAAAATTTAATAAAAAACTGCCAACTTTCAATATGTTGTTTGTTCTTAAATTAAGAAAAAGTCGGATAAACATCTTCTTTATTTCAAATATACACTTGCATATAGTTCCTTTGTGAATCATAATTTATATGAAATCGCCTTTTATTTATTGATGTGGAAAATGTGCTTCATCAATATTAAGCAGTTGCTAAGAATAATGAAAATGTTTTATCAGTATTTTATGTTCCTGTAAAATATTGAATACAATATAGGTCAAGATGTGTATTGATATATGAGTTGATGCCCACATTTTTTTGAAATGCTACTATTCTCATTCTTGCAATAGGGAACTGCGATTATTGATAAAATACCGGTATTATGGACAGCTGCTACGATTTAAAAAAAAAAAAAACATTCAAAGACGTTATTATATTAAAATGATTGGATTAAACTTCACTCATATGCAGTATCACAGTTATATCAAAATATCATGACAGTTGTTAATCATACTGTAATTGAGGTAAAGAATTTGTGTATTCAATTTATAAAACATCTAACTGCATACACGAAATCTTGACCTCGATAGTTGTAAAATAAGTGTTATAACTGTCTATATAAGTTACAATTATCAGTAATTTATATGAAGTAAAAAACACAATCGCAATACTCTTACCTGTGCATTTTCTGGAATAAATGTATTTGTATATTCCCTATCATATTGCTTTTTAACAGTATTAGATTTATCTAAGCATTAAGTATTAGCACATGTATATTTGAAAACAGGAAATGTATTTTTCTGTAATGAAGAAGGAACACCAATTTCATATTTTTTTTCTTTTTTTTTTCTTTTTGAGAAAGAGCTTTTTTAATGCCTCTTTCTAGAAATTATAAAACAAATTATTATTAATTGCATATACAAAAAAAAAATGATACACATTTGAAGATTTCCCTTACTATTCTTGTCAAATTCATTGAATTTCATATGGTTTTTTTTAAAGAAAAAGATGTAAAAAATCTGACAGTGTCATCAATTGAAAAAGCTAAATAATTTGCACAAGTACTGCAAAATTCTTCATCTCAGCAATAGCTTACCAATTATACAGTGATAATATGGAAATAAAGATAACAATTCTTGAAAGTATGGTAACAAAAGATGTCAGACTAGTTTACCAAATTGACTGATTGACAACATCATTGATGCTTTGATTTTACATGTTCCTGTATCATTCTAATAACAACATAAACAACAATACATGATTGATCACTGTTTAAATTATCGATAGGTTAAAACGCACACATGACTTCAAATACGTTTGTAAGAGTTGTCTTTCATACTCCAGGTCTACCATCTTAAAATTGTTATTTTGCTGTAATTTCAGTCGACGTAGAACCTAGAATAAGGTAAGCTAATATTTCATTTTGCAACTCCTTCAAATTATATTTTGTTTGCAAAGTATATATGTTTTAGAACTTTCTACGAAAAACACTATGTGTTTATCTAAAATTGACTTGAATTTCTAAAGTTTAAACAGTAGTGTAGTATGAACGGTTCTGGTTTCTTATTTTGCTGGCAGGTAAGTCTGTATTATCGTTGATTGTTTTATTACGGCGACAGTACTTTACAGATAAAAAAAATAGAATACCATAACAAAACACTGGACAAGTAGACTGTCTGAACTACGGTAGATATAGTACATGACAGAACGTGATGTGACAAATCTCTGTATTTTGGAGATCATTCAACCCGGTATTATACAAACAAAATTAATTGAAATAAATAATATAAATGACCAAACGCGGGCTTCAAACACTTAGTCACAACTTTTTAGGCCACTATTTTCTAAGGAAAATGCCTGTATCAAGTCAGGAGTATGTCAGTTGTTTCACTTGTTTCGTAGATTGACAGATTTTTGTTGTTCAAGTCTCATGGGCTTCCCTTTATTAATTTTCCGTGTAGCTCGGTATATTTGCATGGTAGTGTTCGAACCTTGGCTTTTTTTAATTTATAAATAAATCATTTAACGGAATACTATGTGATGAATTATGTCATTAGCGATGGTAATTGTATCGCCGGGAACTACAGTCCAGACCAATAATGCATGCACACATAATATTAAACCAATAACAAGAGGAAAGCACTTTTACTTGTTACATTCAAAATCAAGATACACGTTAAAAAATATCAATTTTCTACTGTCCATTTATGTGCAGGTAAATATAAATAGCATTTTTGGATCGTTGATAGCCCTGTCATGAACATAAGCATGAACATCTGTTTGAATATTTTTCAGACAGCCTGTTTCCGAAGAAAGCCACCATATGTTGGAACTATGAAGCTAAAAACGTTTTCTGTTTGATTATATTTTATGATTAACTATACTGTCTGTAACTATGACTTGTTTACGTGAAAATAAATAAAACGGAAGATCTGTTAAAATGGAAGAAGGGAATAACTATGAACAATTTTTCATGGATAATGATCTATTCCTCAAAAAATATCTGAAATGCCGGTTTATCAGGTTATTTTTTTTCAAATCTTCAATATACTTTTGCCTATATAAATAAATTGCGGTTCTAATATATAGACGAGTATCGTACTAGTCCTGATTAAATCTTCCTATAGTACTAACAAAATAATCAACAAATGTACACATGTATTAGATACAATGTTTCATTTACACAATGATGTCAAAAACAAATAAGTATTTAATTCAAAAAAATAATTTAAACAAAAACAGACGAACATCACACATAAAAGTACAACAAATAAACAAATTAATTCCTTTCACCCCTATTAGTATGTATACAAAGTAAAAGAACAAAAATACCGAACTCAAAGGGAAATTCAAAACGGAAATTATTTTACCAAATGGCAAAATCAAAAGCTTAAACACAACAAAATAATACAAAACACATTTTCCCTACCGTTCGAATCTTAGTAGAAACAGAGCGTGCTATTTCAGTATGCAACATTCAAACTGATTTGATTTTTCAATTTTACAATAAACAAGCATTTTACACTCTAAACTAAATAATCTGATCTTGTTTTCATTGTAACCATTTTCAATCTATAACCATGTCCAGAGTGTGTTAAATACACAGTTAAATAGCAAATGTGTATTTGTTTCACTATTGTCATATCTATCATCATATCTATAAAAATTATCAATATAATCTAACAGTTCTCATGGTACTCTGACTTCAGACTCTTAACTGCTTTAACACATGTTATCTGTATTAGTAACGTTTACTGTTGTAATATAATATCTTGATGTGTAGCTTGAAATACAGTGTAGTTTGAAATATGTATTAGATAAATACAGACCTATGTATGCATCATAATAAAATATAATATGGTGTCAATTAAAAAACGAATGATTTAACTACCAAAATTGATCAACTGAAACCACCCATAGCCTTAAGTCTAGAGGGAAATGTATTCGAGATGGAGAAAATGGAAACAAAAATTCCAGTTTTATCTAGACATTTTTGAGTGCTACGCAAAAGCAGAAAAATTGCTATGTTCACTGTTACTCTGCATTGGACAGTTATGGGGCAGTTTAGTAAGATATAGAATAGTATGTGGTATACTAAGTCACAATATTTGCGAAAGATTACTAAGAATTTCAGACTTGACACTCGCAAAGTCAATTGACATATGCCGCTCATCGGAAGTTTCATAACAACGATTAAAATCCATAACTGAAGGTGAAAAACAGTACACGCAAAGAGGAAAGACTAATCAGGACACAAACAAAAAGTGAAACAGCAACATAAAGATTCTCTCAAAGACAACCCGAAAACCAGAAAAACGAATTCAGGAAATGCAGAACGGAACATCTACCGAGAAGTTGTGCAGATTACGGAAAAACGTGTATACATCATCCATTATAAGATGTGCAAAAGCAGAAGAATACATGGTATTAAGAAGAAATCGACAACAGGGACGAATTCTACATTGGATGTATCGAAAATCAGAAGAAAAATGAAAATTCTTGGATGGTGAATTTGAACTTGAATGGAAAAAAGCAGAAGTTCAAATTGGATACGGGTTCACAAGCAAATGTATTTCCGTACAAAGTATTGCAATTAGTGAAAAGAGATAAAAAGATTATTCCGACCAAAACAAGATAAGGAATATGTTAAGGTGAGAGAAAAAATAAGCTAGAAAAATGTATGTTGTATTTGAATTGTGTCATAGATTAAATTTATTCGTTCAGTGTATGTTCACTTGTTTGTGTTAAAATGTCTTTTGATTTAGTTAAGCCATTTCAATTGATATTTTTTACTGTGTCTTTCTATGTTGTGATGTTAGACTATTGTTTCAGGTTAGGGTGGTGGTTGGTACCTTAAAAACGTTTAAATCTTTTAAACCTGCTGCATTTGTTTGCACCTGTCCTAAATCAGGAACCTGATGTTCAGTGGTTGTCGTTTGTTGATGTGGTTCATAAGTGTTTCTCGTTTTTCTTATATAGATTAGGCCGTTGGTTTTTCCTGTTTGAATGGTTGTACATTAGTCATTTATGGAGCCCTTTATAGCTTGCTGTTCGGTGTGAGCCAAGGCTCCGTGATGAAGATCGTACTTTGACAAACAATGGTTTACTTTTACAAATTGTGATTTGGATGGAGAGTTGTCTCAATGACTCTCATATCACATCTTCTTATATCTACTCATAAACATAAAATTTAAAAAAAAATGAAATTCGCGGTTGTAAATTTCAATGCTTAATGTATATTAGGATTAAGTGCTTGCAAAAAATAAATCTAATTAATAGAGATATGTCAGTTAAGAAAAGTGCCGAATCTTTTTTGAAGCAAAATAGTGATTTATTTGAAGGAATATGTGAATGAGAATGATACCATCATATTGAATAAGATACTTCAATCAATCCTGTTATTCATCCACCGCGAAGAGTACCGATTGCTCGGCAAGAAAGATTAAAATCTGAAATAGAGAGAATGGAAAAATTAGGCATATTGGAAAAAGTGGAACATCCTGTTGAAGGGGTTAGTTCAATAGTTATTGGAGAGAAGGCAGATGGTCAATTGAGGATATGTTTGGAACCTAAAGATCTTAATCGAGCAATAAAGAGAGGGCATTTCACATTGCCATGTTTGATAAACATTTTGGTACAAATTTGGCTATATACGTCACCATTCCAAGAAATCGTTCAGGTTCTTTTTTGCTTGTTGGTGATTTCATCTCGGTTATCGCTTTCACTTTGTTGTCGTCGATTTTCAATATGATGATATCCTTCAAAGCAATGTTTTAGCGGAAAGGACAGTTTAAAACATTAAACAACTATTAAAGAAAGCCGAACATGAAGGAAAGGATCCGTATATGAGTGTCTTGAATTTCCGAACTACTCCGTTAGACTATTGATGGGTCGCCGTTGTAAAACAAAATTGCCGATTACGAAGAAGTTACTTCGTAACTTCGAATCACGTTTGTTAAAAAAACAAGAGTAACAAAAACTGTATTATGATAAGAAAACCAAAGAACTATCAAAATTGAACGTTAATGACAATGTATATGTTCAGATCAATCCCCAAGCAACATCGTTTTTGTGTGTAAATCTCATAACATAAACTGCCTGTTACATGTAAATGAATTAGGTTATGACAATTCACCTGAAAACTCAACATATACCCCCACGACACTTACCAAATAGGAGATCTTGGATAATCATAGGTCTGTTCTATGTTCCTTTGGAATTTCAACCAACGATGAAGAACTGGATCTTCCATCACTGTATTGGATAATATTGCTGGGTCTTCCAAGTGCGCCACGAAACCTCTTTCTAAATTAATAACATCAATTTTATCAGCAACCAAATCCGGGCTTCAAAGTTATTGTGAAACTGCCTATTTTAGAGGTGACGTGAATCAGATGTGATTACTAAAAAAATCCGTGGATTATGTTTAGTACATATAATCTAAGACTCCTTCATCTTGCGATAGTATTAAAACAATTGATTTTTCTTCACTTTACACAAGTATTCCCAATACCAAACTAAAATACAAATTGCAAGAGTTGGTACTGCTTTGTTCCATTAAAAAGAATAACCAACGTAGATACTAGTATCTTGTCTTATGGAGGGATAAATCCTACTTTGTAAAAAATCACTCTGATTCAAACAAAAATTCTCTAAAAATGACAGTATGAAGATGCTTGATTTCTTGATTGACAACATACAATGTATTTGTTACGTTTAGAGGACGTGTTTTTCAACAAACTATCGGCATTCCCATGGGAACCAATTGTGCCCCTCGTCTTGCCGACTTACTTTTTTATTCTTATGAGGCTGACTTCATACAGGAACTTCTTAGGAAGAAAGAAAAGAAGTTAGCAATATTCTTTTACTTTACTTTCGCTATATAGATGATGTACTCTCACTAAATAATTCAAAATTTGGTGACTATGTTGCAAGCATCTATCCCATCGAACTAGAGATAAAGGATACAACAGATACAGTCAAGTCTGCCTCATATCTTGACTAACATCTAGAAATTGACAATGAGGGTTGGTTGAAAACAAAACTTTACGACAAAAGAGATGATTTCAGCTTCCCAATTGAGAACTTGTTTGTTGACCGTTATGAAATATCCATTTTACAGATGATATTGGATATGTTCCTTATGTTGTTACTACAATCCCGTTTTTATTTCACGATTGTGACCTACCGAATTAGACTATTTACCTGGTTTGTAATAAAAATAAGCAGCACGACGGGTTCAACATGTGGAGCAGGCTCTGCTTACCCTTCCGGAGCACCCGAGATTACCCCCAATTATTGCTTAGTCTTTAGTTTTCTATGTGTGTCTTATGTATTATTATTTGTCTGTTTGTCTTTTTCTTTTTTAGCCATGGCGTTATCGGTTTGTTTTCGATCTATGGATTTGAATGTCCCTCTGGTATCTTTCGCCCCTCTTGCAAAGAGAAAAGAGTTGGGAACCAGCAGTCGTTATTCAAAACACAGTTTGCATTCGTGTATTGTAAAAACAGAATATGCAAAATGTACAGAAGAAATAGAAAACATTTGATGGACAACAAAAACAATGACGTATTTGAGCATGCCGATTTAGACATTGAGCCAATAGTGCAACCAAATTCTGTACACAATGAAGTGAAAGATAATTATCGTAGGTGAAGTGGTAGAATGATGGGAAACCAGAGAGGCTAACTGAAAACATGAATTGATTTGTAGGTTAATATTTAGATTATGACAATTTAGCTTAAGAGACAATATTTTTATTGTTTACATGTACATACACATCATCTCTGCATTTCATTAATAACATTTATTTGTTAAGTAATGCGGCTTTCACACAGCGCCAATTATGGCTCCCGTTTGAGATCAGACAGAGCTGGTACACGAAAAGTGAAAGAGTCGGATTACTATCCTGATTGATCTGGAATGTCCTTTCATTGTCTAAACGCAGTCGTATACGTTCGTTACAGAGTCCTACGGATCGGGCATTGTCCATCGAGGTTGGTCAAGCACCCGACAGTTCGGTCCTCCCCGTAACATTCCGGGAAACTCAGTCGATTTTGTCTAGTCGGATTACAATGGTGACTATATCGTGACA